GCCACTAGACTTCTATTGATCACTACTGTACCCTGCAATAGCATATGTAGGGTTGTCATTCTAATATTGTAGTGCTATAATGGAAGTAACATGGTCTTTAAGCATTGAACACTATAGTAGGTCTCATGACCATTCTTATCTTAAACATATACACAATTATGCAGTTTATAAGATCATTACTAGACCATATCCTTATATGATCTAGATACTCTTATATTGATTTAGACAAATTGACCCTTAACTCTAAGTTGCTTAAGCACTTAAAGACAATAGTCTTCACTCTAAGACCGCGGTCTTAGAGCCAAGTCCATGGTCTTGGCTCCAAGTTCACGGTCTTAGCTCCAAGTTCACGGTCTTGGCTCCAAGTTTATGGTCTTGACCTCAAGACCACCAAGACTGCAGACTTGAGGCTAAGACCGTGGTCTTGGCTCTAAGACCGTGGTCTTGGCTCTAAGACCGTGGTCTTGGCCCAAGTTCAGATTCAAGACCATGACATTTTGCTGATGCTTGAATGGATTGCAGATCACGTCAAATAGCATCCGGCCCAAAACAAAGCACTCAACTCTTCTTCTCGATTTGATAGTACCCTATGGCATGTCTCTTTTGTACTCTCTGACTTTCTTCCTGTTTTACAAGCCCCCATTTACTTATGGCAGGTGACCTCGAAGGACCTGCAATACTCGGAGGCGGACACGAAGATACGAACGGTATCAGCCTTCGACATGAAGGCTCCAAAGCTGAAAGCGACCTGCAGGAAACGTTCCTGACACCCGACACCTCTCGTCCACATCTGGAAAAACAGCCTTTGCGAATTGACACTAATTATCACTATTCAGATAATCTCATCTATATTAGCAAGTGTTAGCAGAGATGACATCTACATTAGAGCTACTATTCAGACGCACTTCTTCAGTAGTGCAACTAAGCACTAATTAGTATACTTGGTACTAGTTATAACTACTCTTCACTATCGCTTTTTCTATAGTGCCATGTAGTGCCAACATGATACTACTATAGCACTACCGCAAATGTGGTCCTCTAATTTTCGCTATTTTGCACTACTGTAGTACTATTTTGCGCTATTTTAGCACTACTCATTTAGGGGAGACTCAAATAAGATGACAATCCTTTATTTATAGCTCATAGTTCTCAACTCAAGCATTACACACCTCTATAGCTGCAAAATCACCATAATAGCTGACTTATATTTGAGGGCACAACTCAACATAGAACTTGTTATCATGTATAGGACTAGG